CCCCTCCCCGAGAAAGCCACCTCGGATCCACCTATGAATAGTCTTAGTGAGGGAAAGGAGTGGAGGGTAAACATTAGTTAAAGTTGAAAGTCAAAACCTCGTTCTCTGTTTCATTTCATTGTACCGCTGAATCTCAGGTTATCGCATTCACATTTTCACATTTCATTCAGTTACCAAGCAAGACACATGTGAACTAGCATACCCATATGGCCATGCGCTTGCTACATAAGAAGCGAAACGTAAAAGACACAAAGCACCTCTCAGCGGAACAGCGGCAACAGAAAATTAGCACTTTAACATACAATGTCTGCGAAAGGGAGACCGAAAAGCAGGGCTGTTAATGGTGCTAGCGAACTTTCCAAAGGAATGAGCCCGAAGGGTTATGTTGTGTTTGCGCATTTCAGGCTTCAAAGGTGGAACAGGTGAAGCGTGTTTTTGTTGCAGACAATGAGAAACTGAAGCACCAACTTCCCGGTTTGTTTTTATGTATTTTACACATTTATGCAGATGCAAAAACGAACAGAGTCGAAATTTTTTGTTTATGTCCAGATTTTCAACTCAGGCTGGAAAGCTGAGATTTTGAACTCACAATTTCTGGGCAGCAGTGCAAAAGGGCGTAAAAACAAAATGCATTTTTCCCCTCTTTTTTATTATATGTTTGGGTTTGGCTCCCAGTCGAATTACCAGCCACTTCTATTACCGCACCAATTATCTACTGGGAAAAAGAAAATTGTGTAAATCCTACGTCTTATTGCTCAGAAGCGTCAGCTAGTGATTTTTGATTTCGTTCAAGCAAAATCTAAAAGTTGAGAGCTTAGTTTTGGAGTGGGAACTTTAAATTTTAGTTATTAAGATAGCGACATTTGTGCGCCCGGCATGCACTAACATGGGATTCCCACACCGGTTGTTCGGTGGCACTGCCATACTTAATACGTTACTCTTTTTCAACGATGAGAATAAAAAAAGCAGTAATGAAAGAACAGCTGATCAAAATATCGAAATGAGTCAAGCAGTAATTTACATGTATTTTTTCCGCTAAGTTACATGTGATCCACGATAAAGCGGTATAGCAAACTTAGCTTGTATCTGAGATTGCTAGGTATCAAAACGAGGAAGTAGGAGAATGTCCTTTTTATCCGGAACTCTTCCATGATGTCATACAATCCCCGTTATACAACATTATTAAGCATTTTTTGCCTCATTTTTTCGTAGCTGATCCATTTTACCGCGCTCTGCTTCATTCCTTTCCTAATTACACTCGCTTGAAATCTTTTAACTGGATTTGGCTGTTCCAATAGATTTTCATTTCTCCTCGTCAGTCGCAAGTGGTTGATAATAAATATAATTTTTCAATAAGTATCAGATTACGATAAGCCTTTTATCCGATTCAAATGAAATTTGAAGGCATAAAAGCGGCAGGGTACTCTAACGCTTTTACGTGTTGTATTATGCTGAGCTAGCTCTGCAATGCCAAAGATATTTAAATATCCAGGGATATGCAAATTATTGCTCTTCAAATTCGTTGATTTCAAAACTTCTTGTCACTTCCATATTTTCTAAATTGCCTGTGAAATAGGTCTGGAATTCTCGAGGTAGAAGCCATGGAATGGTTTATATAAGCGTTTTTGTTTGATTTTAGCTTATAGGATTTTTTTATTCGAATTATCCTACAGTCAGGTAATCCTGAAATTCTCAGATAGTTTTATCACTCAAAGCTAACACAAAAATCTCACTTACTTTAAATACTCGGAACAGTCTGACTCCTCAGCTATGCAGCTAACAACTTTTCCAGTTTTTTGACAAATGTTGCATCGCTTTGTGGTCATCCACTGGCAGTCCTAACGTTCGTGCCATTTCGTGAAGGGATTACTAGTTTCGTGGTTTTTTTTATCGAAGCACCTAGCTGTTTCAGGGTTTGCTTATATATTTCTCCACTTCCTTCAGGAGTTGTTTCGGGATCTCCACTTCCTTCCGAACCATGCTTTTACTAGGCCACGATGAAGTGATATATCAACCAGGAAGATGCCTTGTACAAAAAAAGTATTATAAATTATGTGTGATTTAATATTTTAATACTAAATATATTACTAAAACTGGCCTTTATCAACTTGCTTGAAAGCAATCCTTGAAAGAGCGGGTCATCTGCAGTTTTACCTATGGATGATTGCTGTTGATATTTGCTAACTTCGGACCACTTCCGACTTCCACAGCCTCACAGAGAAAGTGAATTATGGCGAGTTTTCAAGTTTTTAACTGATATTTCGATTTTCTTTTTTTTACGGCTTTTTTCAATATATCATTTTTCGTTTCAGAGCACGTTGCAAAAGTTTTAGAAGCGCTACAGAAGGAGCAGAAGTTCGATCACATAGTAGCAGGTGCATCGACGTTCAGCCGCGATGTGCTTCCACGTGTGGGTGCCTTGTTCGATGCGTCGCCAATCAGTGATGTGATTGCCATCCACAGTGCTGACACGTTCAGCAGGCCGATGTATGCTGGTAATGCCATTTGCAAGGTTTGGTTTTATTTTGTTTTCGCACATTTTGCATTTTTTTTTGAGCTAAATTTCATTCGGAATAAAACAGCAGACTGCAGAGAAGTTGAAAAGTACAGCTATTGATGCATAATTGCCCAGTATTCACTGAGTTACACTTTGATACTTTGATCACCTGTTGTTTCGTTAAGTCCCTTCTCGCTGTTGATGCAGCTGGCAGATCTTCTCTGTTTTGAACTTCTCTCATCCATATAGTTCCATGTAACCGTTCGAACGGGTTCTACCATCGGATTAGTGTCTTCTGCTATGTCTAATATTTGCATGAGTACCGTTCAGTAATCCGCCTTTTCCATTTGTTGTCTCTCATTCTTACCACATAATCAGCGACTTCTCAGGTTTTTTCGGTTCTACAATTAGCCTTGATACTTTGATCAGCTGTTATTTCACGTTTGCCATCGGCGCATTTCCCACGATTGCAGTGATCAAAGCTACATCATCTGCTAATTTTCATAGTTCCTCTATTTTCTGTGTCATTTTCGGAATTGCATGTTCTAAGAGACACGTAATTGCATTTGTTCATCGTATAGGAAATATATATTCATTGAACAGTAATTGGTTTCGGATTTCTTTAACCTATATGTCTGCAAATCTTCCCATCTATTTGTTTGTCAGTTTGTATTGTTTTCGAAATGCGTTTCGTGGGATTTCGTCCGATTAAGATATAGGTGGTGATGGAAATCCATTTGTTTGTTTCTCTTCAGTTCATGAATTCTTGTAATGAAAATTGTTTTCGAAATGCGTTTCGTGGGATTTCGTCGATTATATTCTTATAGGTGGTGATGAAAATCAATCTGTTTGTGTCTTTTCAGTTCATGAATTCTTATAATTCTTATAACAAAAATTGTTTCACAGACCAGACTCGCAAATTTTTACATCGGTTATTAGGCTATTTTGAGTTTCTATCAAATTTCTCAAAATTCATATGCTTTCTTTTCCGTTTCTTTGATCATTTATTATTGTCATTTCAGGTGAAAACCACGGCTACGCTCAAAATTTTGACTTTCCGTGCAACAGCCTTTCAGCCAGCGAAATCATCCGGTGGAAGCGGCACAATTGAAAAGGGTATGGATTTTGATAAAAGAATTTTGAATTTTAAATGTCTAGTGCAGGAATTAGACCTTTTAAAACTGCTAGAATATTTTTTTTTTCAGCTCCGGAAGCAGCCCTGTTTTTCGATGGCGTGGAATTTTTGTCCCAGGAATTGCACAAATCAGAAAGGCCAGATTTGCAAAGCGCAAAAGTGGTGGTTTCGGGAGGTCGTGGTCTTGGTTCTGCGGATAATTTCAAAATGGTCTATGAACTGGCTGATAAGCTAAAGGCGGCGGTGGGTGCTTCGCGTGCTGCAGTTGACGCTGGCTATGTACCTAATGATTTACAAGTTGGACAGACCGGCAAAGTTGTTGCACCGGTAAATTTTCCCGCATTTTCATTTAAAATTCTGAATTTTTTACTAGTAACTGATGTCTCTTTCACATATCTGCGGAGATTAAAATCTGATTCTTATCCAGTCCAGTCTTTTCTACTGACATCGATATGAATTGGAACAACTGCTAACTTATAGTTTTACACGAAGCTGGCTATTTTTCCCTTGTTTTGACCACTACTACATTGCTTGGCGGTCATTCTGCCGGAGGACGGTACAGCGGAAA